GACATTGAAAGCAATGCTGCCTGCATTTTTGTATTCCTGGTAGGGTGACCCATGCTGGCAAGGTTGAGAATGAGATTTCCAGACTAACACTAATGCAAAAATAAAAATAAAAGTTGTCAACAACACAGCAGGTAGATGAATAAAGAATACTTCACAGTGACTGCAGAGGCAGATGAATGATGCAGAATATAAATCTCTGGTTGTCTAGATTTTCTTTGTGATTGAATTAAGGTTTCCTTCCCTTGAAATACTGTGTGGTTGCTGATGCATAATGGCTTCCCCGTGTTAAAAAAAGACATGGGCAGTCATTTTCCTTCAATACCAAGTCCTATGGTGATAGGGACAAGGGCTAGTGATTACTAGAAGCCCTTAGTCATGGACCTACATAGAGGCAATGATTGTATGATAATTATTTTGTACTTGGAACTGAGACTGGTGTATAATTTGGCAGCTGCAAGCATGACTGAGAAGGCCTATGCAGGATCCACTCTGCTCACCCTGCATCAGAGAGGGCCAGAAAAGGTGTCCAAAACATAGTCTGTCTGCATTAAGTGGGATCACACTATCTGTGGTTCAAATCAAGTAATAAAGTTTGCAACCTGGAATACCTGCACCCTGATGGACAACCCTAACAGTGATCGATGAGCAAAGGACAGTTTTTTTGGCCAGAGAATTTGCGTTATTTGATATTGACACTGCAGTACTTTGTGAGACAAAATGCATAGGAGATCAGAAGCTCTACAGAACAGAGTGGTGATTATACAGTTTTTGGAAAGGAAAACTCCCCCAAAAACAGAGACATCTAAAGCACTGGTTTTGCTATCAAGACCAAGATTGTTACTCAGATGCCAGACTATCCAGCTGGCATCAATGAGCATCTCATGATCCTTTACATTCAACTGACTAAGAGATAACAGCCATCAGTACATATGCCATGACCCTTGATGAAGATGATAAAACAAAGAAGAATTCTAGTTTAAACTCACCTAAGTCCTGTCATCTTTCCCCAAACAAGATAATTCTTCACAGTGATTTTGATGCTAGAGTGGGCAGGGACTCTGAGCTTTGGGAAAAAACACTTGGAAAGGAAGAGGTGGGGAAAGTCAATTCAAATGGAATTGTTCTCCTGAGCAAATGTTCAGAATGTGATCTCATTATCACGAACTCCTTATTCTGCCAAACCAACAAATGGAAGACATCACTGATACACACCCACTCCAAACACTGGCAATGGATTGACGTTATAGTGCTCACCCAGGACCATCAGGACATCCATATCACCAAAGCTATGACCAGCATATCAACTGCTGGACAGATGCTATGCCAGCCAGTGAGTTACCGCCTATCCTATAGTTATGGTGAAGGTTGTTCCTACCCAGATGAAAAAGTGCCAGGTCCTTCATCTGGGTAGAAAGAACCTTTACCATAACTATAGGATAGGTAGTAGCCCACTGGCTGGCACAGCATCTGAATGGGACCTGGGGGTCACAATCAACCAGAAGATGAATGAGCCAACAGTACGATGAAGTCGCTAGCAGGGTGAAAAGAACTCTGGGGTACATCAGTCAACATGTTGCCAACAGATCCAGAGAGGTGCTTCTCCCGCTCTACTCAGCATTGGTGAGGCTGCAGTTGGAGTACTGTGCCCAGTTTTGGGCACTGTACTTCAAAAAGGATGTGGATAAGCTCGAGAGGGTGCAGAGAAGGGCCACCCGCATGAGCAGGGGCCTGGAGGATAGGCCCTATGAGGTGAGACTCTGGGAACTAGGTTTGATCAGTCTGAGTAAGAGAAGGCTGAGAGGTGATTTGATAGCAATCTACAAGTATGTCGGGGGGAGCACCAAGATCTGGGGGAGCAACTCTTCAGGAAGGTGCCCCTAGGGAGGGCAAGGAAAATGGTCACGACCTAACAGAGGGAAGATTTAGACTGGACATAAGGAAGAACTTCTTCTCTGTAAGGGTAACTAGAACCTGGAACACACCCCCAGCAGAGATGGCGTGGTTGCCATCCTTGGAGATGTTCAAGAGGAGGCTGGATAAGCACCTTGTTGAGCTAGTTTGAACTCAACCTCCTGCCTAAGGCAGGGGACCGGACTTGATGATCTTCCAGGTCCCTTCTGGGCACTGATTCTATGATTGTATCGTTTCATATGTTCCATCATGTCTATTCCTATCGTCCCAAAATGACACAAACAAAAGCAGCAAACGTGGAAAAGGCTCAATAGTGAGTTCTTGAAAGACCTTGCTAAAAGCAATCAACTCTAGTAGTGCCCTAGTGAGAAACGCTCTGACCTCCGTAGTGATCCTGACACCACTAATTACTATGAGAGCCTCAAGAAAGGCATGCATGAGGTGCGCAAAGAATATCCAGGCTTCTCCACAAAGAACATCAGGACTGGCTTGATGACAATGATAAGGAAATTCAAGCCCTCACTGAGAGAAAAAGGAGACTCTTCAAAGCTTGATAAGAATGACATCAATTCCAAACAGAAGCAAGTTCCTTACTGCAGTCTTAAAGCTAAGGCCCAGAAGAAAATCTGAGAGTGAAAGAACAAGTGGTGGGAGGATAAAGCAAAAGAGATCTGAAAGTTTACTAACAGCCAAGACATGCATAATTTCTTCAGCTCGCCCAAAGCTACCTATGGGCCAAGCACACAAGAAGCCATCCCTCTGCGGTTCAAGGATGGGATGACATGCTTAAAAGACAGCTCCACCATCAATGCATGGTGGGAGAAGCACATTTAAAAGCTCCTGAACTAAGATTCTACAGTTGAAGACAATACCATAAAAGTCACTCTACAACACCCCATTAAGAACTACCCTGCAGTTTCAACAATTTATCAAGAGGATTTGAAAGCCGTTAAGCAGATGAAGAATAAAGCATATAGTCTTGATGGATTATCACCTGTTGTCAACCCTATACTGTTGTATGGGTGTGAAACCTGGACAATTTATCAGAAACACCTGAAAGCCTTGGAATGTTACTATCAGCAATGCCTTTGGAAAATCCTCCATGTGTACTGGAAGGACAGAAGAAGTAATGCCAGCATTCTGACTCAAGTAGCACCATGAGTATTGAAGCCATGTTTATATGTCACCAGCATCGTTAGACAGGACACATCATAAGATATCTGACAACCAGCTTTTGAAACAGGTCCCAGACTAGGGGCAGGCAAAATACAGCTCATAGGACAGATCTGGCCCACCAGGCCATTCTATCTGGCCCACGGGGCACCTACAAAGTTTAGAAAATTAATATTTATCTGCTCTAGACTCCCTGTCAAAGATGACAGGAGCCAGGGGCAGTAGGACCCAGGGGAAGCCAGCAGGAGTCAGGCTAGCCCAGCCCGCCCGTCCCAGCCCCACAGAAATGTCTGCCTGCTGAAGCTTTCCCTGCATGTGGCTGCTCCAGCACCACGTGACCCCCAGCTACATCGCTGGACCGCGGGAGCAGGGGCATGCTGGTACCTCGAGGCCAGAAGGGGGTGGGTGTGTGTGTGTGTGTACGTACGTGTGCCATGACGGCAGGGGAGAGAGGGAGAGAGAGAGTAAGCAATGAGGCAAGCACACAGAGTGTGTGTGTAGTGAGGCAAGCACAGTGTGTTTGTCTTCATAGGGTGAGTCCCACAAGCACCCCCCATCATACATATGAACCCATACCCCTCCTCATACTGCCATACACACAGACCCCCAACACCTCCTCACACAGCCCAGCCACCCTGCCCCCACACACAGCCCCACTATCTACCCACACCCCACATATCCACACACACCCACATGCTCATA